CAGATTATTTTTCAACGGTGAATTCTACATAATTTGTGAACCAGAACAACAACAAAAATCCAAAACGAACTAAACGAAGCATTTGAGAGTTGAAACAATAGGTGATGTAAATCTATGGGAATTTCGTTGGATGGAATAGTTTGAATTTTATCACTGAGTGTTTTGAAGGTATTTGTAAATTGGTGTGAATTCTTAACTTGGCAATTCATTTAATTAGATACATATTATCGTCAAACATTATTGATCCTTTGTCAATCGAAAATGTAAAAAAAATGCTCGTTTATACATTGGACAAAAAAGAATTCTTCGTGTGTAAAAGATCGTCCTTAAAGAAAAAAGTCTACATACTCGGAATTTGGTCAAGTAAAAACCAACATATCACTTCCATTTAGCTTCGAGCGCTTTTTGGTTGCCTGTACTAAAATGTGCATTTCTTCAAAAATTTGATTTGTTTGTTTTATTCTTCTCCTTCTCTATTCGTTGTTTTTAAGTTCTTTTGCCACCCCAGCTTATAAATTTGTGTACGTGTTATGTTAATGTTCCATTTGACTACGTCACTTTCTTTTTTTTTTTCTCAGTATTTCTCTCTATTTTTCCTCTCAATGGTGTATCATTGTCGTTATGCGCTCTTATATGTTCATTTGGTTTTCGTAGAATTTCTTCTTCTTCTTTTTTTTCGTACCATTCTCTTGCCATTTGTGTGCTATTCGTTAAATTTTTGTCGCGCTCTCGTATTTCAAAGTCATTCGCTCGGTACACACCAGTCCAATTGCACAGATATAATTATTATGTGTACATAATTTAATCATAACAATAGCTAACTGTAATATTAACAAACACGATTCTTTTTTTCGTTGTGTTGTTTCATACTTTTTTTTTGTTCTTCCTGCAACGTTTTTTTTTCTGTTGCTGCTATTGTCGTTTTGTTCAAGACCGTTATTACAATGAACAGTATCGCTCACAGCGAATATAGTGCATGTTTAGTGTGTCCGGGACACAGATTTAGGTAGATACAGAAAGGAAGAGAAGACGCATAGCATGCACTTTATTTTGACTGTGTGAAATAAGACAACTAATCGTTTGGATACAATGAAAAATCCATTAAACTCGAATCCTCGAATCTCAATGGTTTACGATAAAAGTGACAGGAAAAAATAAAGACCAACCACCAACCAAAGAAATAAGCATTGAATTCAAAGCAAACCGACTGAGAGTACGAGTGCGGCAACCAACTTTTGCGGGTGTATTTTGTGTGCCAAATTGGATTTTCATCATAAATATTGTGTGTGCACACACACACACACAACCAAATGCAAACACATAATAAATAATAAATTTTTAATAGCCACCGTATTATTTCTTCACTATGGAACGGAACTAAGCACCAAACAAAATACACAGTCACACACAGATGCATTTTTACGGGCGATAAACAAGAAACAACGCCACACTCATTACACATACAGCATAAAAAGCCAACAACGACGAAACGGAATAAGCATATTTATACACACACACACACAATGAGTGCGCAAAATTTCAAGTAAATATTCTTATCTTCATTGCAATAAGTAACGACGACTAAATGAATGCCAAAGAGAAGTGCAACAACAGCGACAGAGAAGAAGAGAGAGAGAGAGAAAAAAAACGAAAGAAAACTGTCGAGAAAAAGAGTGAAAAGAGAGAAATGTTCGAAAACTTGGAATGCAAATACCCAAGTGCATTCACTTTTAGTCTTAGTAGTATCGACCCAACAAACCATCAGCAAACGAAAAAAAAAAATAATAATAAAAAACCAACTCTCACACATTTTACATGATGAGAAGAAAAATTTTCTAACTGTTATATTTTCGGTTTTGTTCGAGGGACGAACAAGTACGGAACGAGAATGAGCGATACGATACGTTTGTTCTAAATGAGTTGCAATAAGTCAACAATTTTCATTTTACATTTCACGAATGTAGATGTAGAAAAATGAGCTCTGCACACAGCATCGATATGCAAACACAATTGTTTATATAATCAAAATGAATTCAAACAAGAAATAGATTCGACTCCTCGCGCGCATTCAAAACGTTTAAAATACAAACAACACACACACACATTTTTGTTGTTGTTGTTGCAAAAGCGATTTTTGTTTTGTGTATGCATGCATTTTTGTCAATCACAATCTTCTATCGCGTTTCAATGTATATCATTCAGCATTTATTATTTTCTCATTTGTTGGCTCATGCGTTCCATCGTACCGCTATCTTATCTCAATTAAACTATCTGAAATTGAAAACGGGAAGTTCGAAGCTATCTAGCTTAATATGAATATTTGCAAATGAAGCGTTACTCTTTCGATTTATTGATTAAAAATGCTTCAAATCGACTGTACAATCGAACCGAATGGAAAATTTATCGCTCATAAGTGTGATGGAATTTTGAATAAAAGTTTGGCAAACATCAAACCAACAACGATGATTATGACCATTAGAATGATCAACAGGAAATACTAAAATTTTGCCATTCCAATGAAAATAAAACCATGTCGTGTGATCCACTTGGATTCATGAGTGCGGATAAATTGTAATTCAAATGCAATGGATCTCATCGATTTTTGAAAAAAAGAAAGAAAATAAAGAAAGATATATTTTAATTGCTTTGTTTGTATACGTCTGCCATTCGTTTTTCATTGAGTACTGAAATTTATTGCTTTTACAATATGGAACAAGTGTTTTCCATTGAAACGCCACTATCTCGTTCTTTTTCCATCCAATAGTCTTCCATTATTGAAACCATTGTTTTGTAACGACAAAAAAAGTGTGAGAGTTACTTAAACGGAAAAAATGAAGTCGGAATTTTTTTTTACTTCAAATCGATACAAATGAATAAAAAGCGATCTAAAACCCAGATACACTATTTATGCGGGTAATTGTAAACAATAAACACAGCATACGTTAACGTTTGCATTTGCTCAATTCACATTCAACATGATTGAGAATCATATAACTCGCTCGCCTGCTTTCTCTTTCTCCTTCTCTTTCTCGTTATAGCTGTGCCGTCGCTCCGGCTTTATCTAGTTGCTTTTCTGTGCACTTATTTTTTGTTCAAATAAAAAATGCTCAAACGAACGACGTACCGAACAACAATTATGTTTATTGGATTTTTGTTAAGCCATATATGCATTCGATTTTAACAGCGATAGACGCAACCAAATGAAGAGAGCAAACACCACGAGAATTCAACAGTGAGAGCTGATTTGCATTGTTGCTGCTGATTCAAGGGATACATGTTATTTTAATTTTCCGAATGGCATGCATAAGCCAAACCTCTCAACAAAAAAAAATGTTCGTTCTGCATTTCTGCCTAGAGAAAAAGCACACAATGAGAAAAAAAAGCACTCTCCGTATCCAATCAATGAACATATTACGCAGGGGTTACTAATCAACTTCTCGAGAAGAAATTATATGAATTGAACATCTATTTAATTCTCTTCTTTGTGTGTGTGTGTTTGGTTTGGCTGTTGTTCCATTTTGATCAGAAAGTGTTTATTGGATCGAATTTAGTAGCATTTTTTGAATGTGATTTCTTTTTTCTCTCAAACAAAATTTTCGCGTATTTGGAAAATTTCAGTATTTACTTGAAATGGTGTTTCTATTGCAAAATATTTATCTAATATACTTAAAATCCATTTCAATTTGCCATTTGTTGATGGCCCCTTGAAATATTACCATTCAAATGAGCATTACGTTTATAAAAGCACAAAAGCGATTTCGAAGAAGCCATGATAGTAGCATGAAAAAAAAAACAAACAAATCGAAATAGCACAAAAAAAAAACGGTCAGAAAGGAAAAATCGAGAGAAATGCATATAATGTGCAGCGATTTCAACACACACAGAGAGATTCATTGATTTATTTGCTGCTTATTTGCTCTTCGTATGGTGTGTGCTGTGTGTGGTGGTCGTTTTGCAAATGCAGTTTGTTGATGTCATTCGACGTTGCCGTCTATTTTTTTTCTCTCATCTTCCTTTTCATGCATTTCGTAACATTTTTCACATTTTACATTTTATTACAATTTCAATGATGGTGTGCAAGCGTGAGATCTTTGTCCATCCAACCGAATGGCCTGGCCACCCCCAAAAAAAATATACAGTTTTGTATATTCATTAGTTTCACTACGGTTTGATTGTGAAATGAAGATAATATAAAAACGACCATAACATGCTCCCCCGTTTTTTTTCAGCCATTTGAAATGCATGTCAGTGGAATTTTGGGAAATGGCAAAAGCTTTGTGTAGAAAAGGCAAATTGTTGTTGATTTTTCATTGAAACCACTTTGTTGAAATGTAACACTTTTTTTCCTCTCTCTCTCTCTCTCTCTCTCTCTCTGTCGAGCGATCAAAGTAATGATCTCACACTATTTTTTTTGTGGTTGTATGAAAACTCAATCATAAGCCAATAACGCAAAAAATGAATTACATTCAAATAAAAAGCGATCGCCAGCGGACATTATGAAATCGCTTTCAAATTGATTGAACATTTATAAATCACAAGGCACTGATGGATTTGTGGGTGTGAGCGAAAAATATTATTGATTTAAAAAAAGTCTCCATCTAGTGTTTTTTTTTTTTTGCTTACCAAAATTAGCCTTATAAAATTGATACACATTGACCCATTTACCAGCTTAAACATGATTGGATCTCTTTGAAAAGATAAAAAATGGACATCGTGGAAGGAAAAAGTCATAACTTTAGGAAACTTATAACATGCTTTTTTTTTGCTATTTTTCCAATAAATTGTTTTGAGAAGTTTATCACCCGAAAAAAAAAACCCGACAAAAACTCTCCTTCGTCGGTCGGTCGATATATTAAATAACACAAATTGATAAAGTTGGCGATCAAATTGCCAAAGATCGCTAGTTTTTTATTCACTAATTGTTTCCCCCCCCCAAAAAAAAGCTACCAAAACACAACATTTAAAAAGAAATTGTAATTCAATTAAACACAAATACGCACAGTTCTAACACAGTGTTGTTGAAAATTCCAGTGATCTCAACCATACAATTGATGATGCGATTGGTGATGCGTTTTTCAAACTCGTAATGTTTGCTCTTTGTGGAACGGAACGTGACAAAAAAAATTTATATGAAAGATTGATTGTAGAAGCACGACCAGCTCAGCCAACGATTGATATCAAACTGTTTTTCCAACAAATCGTTCAATGAATTTATATATACACGTCGGTGAAATCGGTGCGTTTTTCTCTTACACACCATACACTCTCTATCGGGTATCCAGTTTTTGAAACAAACCTCAACGGTTTTGGTCGATGTCAAAATACATACGAAAGACGCTACCAAAGCGCTACGCAATACCATAGCAGAAAAGGAAAATTCACAGTACATTCAACTGACACGTTGCCGTATGTTGCGAGCATGAGAGTGAGCGATGTGTGTATGTTTTGTGTGTGTGTTGTACCACAGTTTGTTCGGCTACGTGGGAAGTGTGTGTGTGAGTGTGTACTGATGTTCATAATGATAGCGCGCATCAAATATGCACGTTACATAGCAAACAATTTTTTCCGTTGATGTTGTTGTTGTTCAGCGGCATAAACATATCAGGAACACGAAAGAAAGCTGCCGAAAATGACGGCGACACACTGTTTACTTTCCAAAGATGCGATTAAGCTTTACCGATTCGTCAAAACCGCCAAAAAATTTATGCCATGACTTTCATGTCTGTGATTTGGTTGACGTTGGTCTTTGTTTTTCACATCAATCGTCTTTCGCCAATTAAAATTAAAGTTCATTTCGACATGATGCTGAAGAAATGAATGCACGTAAACCAAAAATTCGTAATTTTATTCATTGTTTTCGTTTTTTCTTGTCGCCTTAATCACATTTTATTGACAGCTAATGAAGGGGTCTTTTGACAGTTCCAACTGTTAATTGCTTGTCATTTTTTTATTTTGAACAAGTCAAATATCAACAACTTAATTTAATATATTCTTAAGAAACATTTTTGTGGTTAATTGAAGTCATAACGGTAACTTCAGTTTTTTTTTTGTTTCATTTCGTTGTTTTGTTTTTGACAACGAACATCGTCATCAACGTCGATGATGTACGTCGTGCTATTTCCCATCATAAAACATTTTAAAGCGGCATCAACATGCAATATTCATTGTCAAACGCGTGCAGAACGCGCTCATTCATTTGGATTTTGTTCTTTGATGTCGCGCCAACATCATCACACACAAACGCGTACATAAAGTATTTACTGTGGGGGTTGGTAAAGCTTCATGTCACATGTCACACATATTAATGTGTTAAAAGTCAACAATATTAAACACATTTTCCATAAACAACAAACAAACATTCATTTAATAAGCCATGATTTGGACATTTTTTGACATTTTAATTTGTAAAACAATCGAAAAATGTGTGGTTATTTTAAACTTCTAAATTACACCGGTCTCGTCTTCATTTTCATTTCCAAAACAAAATAAAATAAAGACAACACTTTTATTTGGCGGCAAAAAAAAATTAATAATGTTATCATCGTAATCGAGTAGAGACAGAGAGAAGGATGAAGGGGACAGAAAAAAGAGAACATTTCAAATTAAGTGTCAAAACTGTCTGTTAGATGCCAGCCAAGTTGATTTGAAAATTGTTGTTTGTTTGTGTGTCAAAATGTAACTTTTGAGCGGCCGGAATTGGATGCTTCAGATATATGAAAATGTAATGAACATTATTGTTCATGTGTTATTTTCTAGTCATAAAAAGTCCTTTTTTAGCCTCCTTTTTCAGAGATTAATTTCGGTGGTCTGAGGGCATCAGATAAAGATCTATACAGATATTGTACAAAAGAATCGAAATAAAAGTATCAAGCAGCAATGTTACTGTCGTTGTCGTAGTCATTGTTGCTGGGACATCCCAAATTTTCACGATATGCATTCTATTTAGATGCACTCAATGTGGCATACAGAAATGAAGCTCTCACATCGCCCTAAGTAATTTGTGTTTCTTTCTGTTTTGAATAAGTGAGTAAAGCAATAACAAAAAAAAAAAGAACTAAAATCATAATACCAAAAAGATCGTTGGTATGTATTCTCTCCGGTTGCATATTTACTTAAAATTTAATGTGACATGCAATAATGAAACGAAAAACATCAAGAAAGAGTTGGAGAGTTTGAGAGTGGGCGAAAAGAAAGAAGACACAGACGGATACAATCTATATGTATATATATTTAAAAAAGATAAGCAGCGTATAACTTGCCTTGCGGCTCTTCCACAGAATCAAATAGACAATTTATACGCAATCCGTGCCCAACTGTTTCAGCATATATATGAATTTGTTGGTAGTGAAGACGGAAAAAAGGACGACGCCAGCATGGAAAAAATGACTAAAGAATTTCGAATGCTTTTCTTTTGCCATTTCGGTTTCGGGCTTTTTTCTCATCACAAACAGCACACAAAAAATTGCAAAGAGTGAGATGAGAACATTCATTTTCCAAAAATAGTCACATTCATATTTTAATGTTCGAATCCGAAGCAGTGAAAGTAAAGAAAAAAAAAACAAGAAACAAACGCATAACCGATTCTGAATGCATTCATAATAAGATAAGAGAGACAATAGTCATATCTGAATAGTAATAACGATGGAAAATTGACATTTGCAAGCAAAAAAGGATGTATTAAGGGAACAAAAGCCAAACAAACTGAAGATTGAAAGAGAGAGAGAGAGAGTCGTGAGCTACACAATGAAATTATTATGCACGCAAGCATTGTGGATTGAACGGAAAATGCGTTTGGATGTTGAAAATCGTTCAGTGAACTTTTTATATGCTTATTTTGCTTTGCAAAATTTGGATGACGAACCAAAAATAAACCTCATAAATACAGATTAAGCGAAGAAATGAGAGAGAATGAGCATTAGGCACACACATATACACTGTATTTGTTTGGCTTACAACTATCGTGAATCCAATCCATTTTATCGTTCTATTATTTACGATTCGATGCATTTTTGGCCTTTCACATTAGCTATATCACTTACGATGTTATACGATCGGTGTGTCATATTGGTTTCACCGGCACAATTATCCCATTTATAAATTATAGTTGTCACTCGGTTGCTCAGAATGTCATACATTGATAGCAAATTCAAGTGTTTTACTCTCTAACAAACGATGCAAAGTGCAGAATTGAACGACGAAAGCACCAACCGCAAAATCAACTAGCAAAAATACGTCTTGTCAAAATGTCAAAGCACAAAATAATCATCAAGTGGTCACTCGCATATAATTTACGAGGAATTTGTTTTTTTTTACAACCACAACAAAGGTTTTTTCATTTATTCAGACAAAAAGAGAAAAAAGTCTGTCCTAAATTCGTTGCACTTCCCATGCCTACCATAACTTAATTTGTGTCACTTAACCATTCTTGGTTTCTACTAAATCTTGATACCGATGAACTTTACTCTATCTGCCACATTTCTCTTGCTCTCGCTTTCGCTCTATCTTATATCCTTACTGCACATGTATCACGCAAATCCATAGTGTTGAATCTGAGAAATGCAAACAGTGAGAACAAAAGTATGCGTATATTTTGTTATTCGGTCCGCACTTTTAAGTGCTGATACACAAGTATGAGGAAATCACAACTTTTTGGCTCGTACGCATTCGACCAACAAAAGCCAACAGAAAAAAAGTGAAGAAAAGAAAACAGAAAAAAAAACAATCCACCGGAAAAATGCGAAAATACAATTACATAAGAAGAGTGAATGCCAACACTCACACACAAACGCAGCTATTGTTGAGGACACAACATCTTTTCGACGTTGTTAACGATGATATAAGAAAATATACAGTGCGCTATAAAAAAAACAGAAACATAAATCTGTCTCGGGGGACTCTTAATATATGCTTTAGAGCATACAAATCATTCCTTTCGGAAAACACTCTGTTTTGCTCTTGAGTATGCATGTATTGATCAAGGACTACTTTAAGACGCGCCGATACATTTTACTTTGGGCAATATTACATATTAGACTTAGAGCTACATTTGAAACGCACACAAATAACATTGAAACAACTCTTGTGCCATATCTGGGAACTGTTGAATTGAATGGTTGTCAAATCTGCGTTCATTTGCAATTCCATTTTGATCTGATCTTAAATTGTATTTAACGTGCAAAATATATACATAGTCTATAGATGTAACATAGATTCTGAGAAAAAAAACAGCCTATCAAACAAAATATAAATACGAATATCTTCTCTAAGAATGATTTACATGTCATGGTAATCACGTGCTTTTAAATCATTCTTTCTCAAAAAAAAATTGAACATTTTATTTGGCTAAATCTATTGATTTTGGAAAACTCGAGAAGAAAAATGTCCAAGGGGAGCGTTTTAATATTCTTTTATATAAGAAAGGAAATATTATTTTCAATCAAAAATATTTTGAATTTATCAAATTAAAAACTGCCTGTTATTCATTTGCGTTTGTTTAGACAACAAGTTTTCATATAAGCCGTTATGATTTTGCTATTAAAACAGTGTTTGGTGTGGCCAAAAAAGTTGATGCCAAACGCAAGAAAATCCTGATTGTATAATAATATAAAGCGATGGGAGCAGCAAAAGTAGCTTTTTCCGTGCTTGAAAAGAAAATGAACTAAGGTGTACAATGATACTCGCGTTCTCCCATTCAAACGAGACCTAACAAAGTGAAATGTATATGTAAAAGCGGAAGTAGTGTCAGTGTCATACGAAAAAAAATACAAGTGAATTTGGGGCCAAAAATGGCAGCATCAGCGCACAGTATTTGATATGGGCAACAATAGTATTTATGCAAATTTGAATATTAGGTCTCATGGTACTTATCTGCTCGTTGATAGAGAATGAACATGTCGAAATTACCATAAACGAAAGTGCAAAATGAACGTTGTTCTTCTTTTTTGTGTATAATCAGATGCGGAAATGTTTGTGAATTGCTTCCCGTACCACTAAGGCGCCAAAAAAAACAGACACTTACCCAGATATTATTCCATAGCGAAATGCACTGATATTAATTTTGTCCATTTCTTTTATTCTTTCAAATCAATATTTGAGCCATACAGAATCATAGCTAAGAATGTTTGGACTTTTAAATGAAATGTCAGATGCAGTGAACGAGAT